GGGGGGTGAGGGAGGCAGGTAGGGAGGAGGAGAGGGAACGGAGAGGGAAGGTGGTGTAGATGCTTCGAGACACGTGCACGTCCGGGTACTGGTGTGAGGAGGGGAGGGAAGAAGGAGGGGCGGAACAAGCAGGGAAAGGTGATGAGGAGAGGCATGCCGTGACGTGAAATGAAAGCACTGTTGACTGAGACTCAAGGCTGCATCAGCCAAGGGCAGTCCGATCAATGGACAGCAAAGCAACAGCGGCGTTGCCAGGGATGGTCCAGGGCGTGGTGGTCCAGATGGCCAGGGCGAGGGAAGGGAGGAGGGGGTCCAGGGAGGCTGGCAGGGAGGAGGAGAGGGAGCGCAGAGGGAAGGTGGTGTAGATGCTTCGAGACACGTGCACGTCTGGGTACTGTTGGGGGAGGGGGAGGGAAGGGAGGATGAGGGAAGGGAGGATGAGGGAAGGGAGGATGAGGGAAGGGAGGATGAGGGAAGGGAGGATGAGGGAAGGGAGGATGAGGGAAGGGAGGATGAGGGAAGGGAGGATGAGGGAAGGGAGGATGAGGGAAGGGAGGATGAGGGAAGGGAGGATGAGGGAAGGGAGGATGAGGGAAGGGAGGATGAGGGAAGGGAGGATGAGGGAAGGGAGGATGAGGGAAGGGAGGGGGAGGGAAGGGATGGCTGAAGGCACTGTTGACTGAAGGCACTGTTGACTGAAGGCACTGTTGACTGAAGGCACTGTTGACTGAAGGCACTGTTGACTGAAGGCACTGTTGACTGAAGGCACTGTTGACTGAAGGCACTGTTGACTGAAGGCACTGTTGACTGAAGGCACTGTTGACTGAAGGCACTGTTGACTGAAGGCACTGTTGACTGAAGGCACTGTTGACTGAAGGCACTGTTGACTGAAGGCACTGTTGACTGAAGGCACTGTTGACTGAAGGCACTGTTGACTGAGACTCTAAGCTACATCACCCAGGGATGATCCAGGGCGTGGTGGTCCAGATGGCCAGGGCGAGCTATGGGAGCAGGGGGGTGAGGGAGGCCGGCAGGGAGGAGGAAAGCGAACGAAGAGGGAAGGTGGTGTAGATGCTTCGAGAGACATGCACGTCTGGGTACTGTTTTTGGAGAGGGGGAAACGGGGGGGAGGTAAGGGGAAAGGTAGAGGGGAAAAGGAGAGTGAGTGTGGAGGGAAAATGGTGTAGATGCTGTTTCAGGTCAGGGCAGGGGGAAGGGGTACACCTACCATTCCCGAGCCTCTCTCCGTCACCTCCAGCTCAGCCTCGGCAAGAGAGGTCCTGGAGAAAGGGCTTCAGTGCACGTGTTTTTGGCCGTAACTGTTGAGCAGCATGCGGGCAAACACAACCAGTCCAGCCCCCTCATACCTCCGTTCCCACCTTTCCTCAACCTCAACCTTTTCCGTACCTCAAGCTCCGCCTCAGCGAGCGCAGTGCGGGAGGACGGACTCCAGTGCACGGGCTTTCTGCCGCGGTAGATGTGGCCGTTCAGCACCATGCGCGCGAACACGCCCAGCTGAGCCGCTTCGTAGGCGGGCCGCAGGGTGAGGTAGGGGTGCTCCCAGTCCGCCCACACGCCGTAGCGTCGGAAGGCCTGCCGCTGCTTGTCCACCGTCTTGAGGGCGAATTGAGCTGCCTTCTTCCGCAGCTTGATGGGGGTTAGACCCTGCCGTGCCTTGCTGTCCATTGATTGGAGCACTTGGGGAAGGGAAGATAGAGGAGGTGTGGGGGGTGTGCGGGAGGGAAAGGGGCGTGTTGGGGGAGATTTGGTAGGTAACACACGCCATGAGCACAAATCAAGGACAGGGGCATGAAACAGGTTCTGGTGATTCTTTTCTGTCCCTTGGCCTTTCCCTCCCCCCAAAAGCTACACTCCCCCTCACACCCCAACTCCCCCACCCCTCCCTCTCGTCCCCACCCCACATGCAAGAAATGCCATGGGAGCAGGGAGAGAGGGCATACCTTTGAGTTCGATCGGCAGCCCGTGGCAGTCCCACCCACCCCGGAGAGGCACGAACCTCACCTTGCGGGGATTCATTACCTCCACTAATCAACCTCCCCCACCCTCCAACCAACCCCTCCTCTCCCCTGCAAGCAGTGCCATGGGAGCCGGGAGAGCGGCGTACCTTTGAGTTCGATGGGCAGCCCGTGGCAGTCCCACCCCGGCACGAACTTCACCTTGCGCCCCCTCAGCATCTAAGGCCGGGGGAAGCGGAGGAAGGGGGGAGCAGGGGGAGGGGGGAGCAGGGGGGAGGGGGGAGAAGGGGGAGGAGGGCGCAGGGGGGGGGGGAGGAGGCGGAGGAGGGGGATGAGGATGCAGAGGCGAGGCAGCAGGTGACGGGATGGAAGGGAAATGGAAAGACACGAAGAGGTGTAGGGAGAGAGAGGAGCCAAGTTCTAGAGCCACATTGTCACTCTAGGTGCTCCATCATACTCGTGTTAATGCGAGCGCACCTGGTCGCCACGGATCTTTACGTGGCAGCAACTTATAGGTACAACACCTGTGTTTGTCAGTGGTGTTTTTGTAAGAGACGACTTTTGAGCCGATTCAAAAGTCACCTGGTAGCGGTTGATGAAGTACTTGAGAATCTTGTTCAGCACATGGCCGATGTGCTACAGGTCGCCATTGGCATATCACGTATGATGATGGCCCTCCCATCATGCAACGACCGACTCATAGTTGAAGTTTGTTGGATTCGAAACGCAGAAAGCCTGGATGTCGCGTGTGAACGCGTTTCGGCCAGCAAAGGCCTTCATCAGCACAACGTGTATGATGGCCCTCCCACTCATAAGGCGCGTAGGATACAACGACCGACTCATAAGGCGCGTAGGATACAACGACCGACTCATAAGGCGCGTCAAAAGACGTCTCAATGGGAGGGCACAGAGGCTTCAAGTGTGAGCACACACACACACACACACACACACACACACACACACACACACACACACACACACACACACGCACACGCACACGCACCTGGTAGCGGTTGATGAAGTCCTTGAGAATCTTGTTCAGCGCGTGGCCGATGTGCAGGTCGCCATTGGCGTATGGCGGGCCATCATGCAGCGTGAATGGCTCCTGTTGGTGGCGGACGGGAGCGAACGAAAGAAGAGGAGAAGAGTGCGCAGAGAGAAAAAGGGTTGAAATGGGGAGCATGGGGCGAGAGGGACGGGTGGTGCAGGGGAGGGAAGGGAAGGGAAGGGAAGTGGAAGATGGGGCATTGAGCAGTGGTGTTGAGCCTGCAGTTGTATCTCATTCCATTGCACCCATGTCAGGCAACAGCAGCCACACACACCCCCTCCCCCACCCCACCCACCCACCCACCCATGCGTGTCCCTCCCTCCTGCAGTGCGCCCACCGCAACACGAATGCCTCTCATGCGGCAATCAGCTGGACCCCGCCCCGTGACCAACCTGAGCTCCCTCATGGTCCCTGCTGCTGAGACATCCCTGGCCCTGAGGTCCAACCTCGGGTCCATGACTCATCTCACTCTCACTCACCCCCGGGTTGCTTTCCAGCAGCTTCCCCGCGACGAACAGCTCCGGCTCCCTCACGCTCGCGTTCGCGCGCATGCCCACCCCACCCCACCCCACGAATGCGGCTCAAACAACGAGAGGCGCATCAAGGATGATTCCCCACCTCACCCACTCACCCCCGGGTTGCTTTCAAGCAGCTTCCCAGCGACGTCCAGCTCCCCCCAGAGAGTCTGGATTTCCGGCTCCCGCACACTCGCGTTGGCGCGCATGCCAAAGCTCGTCTGCGGAAGGCACACCGTGCCCTTGTACTTTCCCCCCTCCTGCTCCGCGCCCCCCTCCTCCGCGCCTTTCTTCTTCCCCCGCGCCTCCACCGCCAGCCTCCGCGCGCGCCCCGCGGCAGCGCCCGCGGGCAGTGTGGGGAAGTTGACTCTAGCGCCGCCGAGGCTGCGCGGGAATCCCAAGGTGGGGGGGAGAAACGCGGAGCGCAGGCTGTGCGCGGAGGAGCGCGTGGTTTTCCGCGCGGAATGAGAGGGGGCTGCGGAGAGGGAGGGGGCAAGGCGCGGGGCGGCGGAAAGCGCGCTGGGCGCGCAGCAGATGCAGCGCATTCTGCCGCAGAGGGTGGAGAGCGCAGGGGAGCGCGCGGCGGACGAGAGGAGATGAGTGCCGGATGACTGCCGGGGGGAGGAGGCGAGGGGAGAGTGGGGAGGCGGGAGTGGGGAGGGGAAGGAATGGGGAGAAAGGGGATGATGCGTGAAGAGAAACGGGTGGGGGGAGACGGGGACCAGAGAATTGGATCTCACAAGGCCGAATGACGGAACGAAATGCAAGGGCGACCAGAAAACACGCGAACGTGCCTTAGAACGCGTGACAAAATGCAGCTCGGAATGCGGCTCCTGAGCACAAAGCACAACCTCACCATGTCGACCGACTGCTGGATAAGCGTCGACACAAGTCAAACGCGCGCTTTAGAGAAAATTCTCGCACCAGACCCACTCACGGCGCCCTAATCGACCTGAACGAACCAGCCTGAAGGAATCGGCCTGAACGAAGGATCACGGCCACGACGACCCCTTGGCACACGTCCGGAGTAGAGGGTCTAGAGCCTAGACCTGTGATGTGCAAACTCGAGGGGGTTGAGGTGGGGGGGAAGGGCGCGGGAGAAATTGGTGGGACAAACTGCAAATGTGGGTGTGTCCGCTCCACGTCAGCACGCAGATGACGTGCGGTTCTGCGCGCCACAATTCGAGGAGAGGGATGGTACTCGATCTGGAGTTATGTACTTGTAAAGGAATTTGTTAGGTGAACAGCTATGGTAACGAGGCGTTCCGTAAGAAAGTTCTTTCTCCATACTCGGTACAGTAAAATTACACTTTGACTGATGTGCATTTTAAGGTGTACATAATTTTGTACCTTCATCCCAACTTCCTCCTCAGTTGAGCAAACCGTCTGTTCTGTAGCAACGTTCTTTTCGTAGCACTATTGCATATCCCATCCTTCCTCCTAACAGTCACTTCTACCGCCATGGCGTCAGGCCATTCCCCTTCCGCGCAAACCCTGCACCCTCCAAACCCTAATGCTCCCGACTCTCCTCCGCTCGACTTCCAGGGCGTGACTGCGGCGATCGCGGCGCTAGCAGGCGCAGTGCACGCGCTGCCCGCGGAAGACGATTTCCACTTCTACTGCAACTTCGCCGCTTTCCGCGCGCGTGTCTCCGCGCTCCGCCAGCGCGTGCGCGCGCTGCTCTCCCGCCTCGGCCCGCCTGCGCCGCCCGCCGCGTTGGCTCCCGCCGCGGGTGACCAGGATGACGCTGACGCTGACGTGGACGACGTTTATGATTGGCTAGTCGATGTGCTGGATAACCGGCTGGAGAAGGTCGACGTGGCACTTGACGAGATGCGGAAAAAGCGGAAGAATGCGCAACCGGATTGGCAGGGGCTGGAGGAGGAGGAGGCGGAGCAGCGGCGGGAAGCGCTTCTGCGCGAAGCGGGGGCGTTCGGCTCCGGTCTCGCGGACGCCGCCTTTTCCGCGCCCAAGGCGGGCGGAAAGCAGCAAGCAGGCGGAAGCATGCCGGCGGCGGAGATTGCCACGTCAGCTAGCAGCTGGCGGCGCAGCTTGCGCGGGAAGAACCGGCCGCAGGACGCGTTCGAGCCGCCTGTCGACAACTCCGACGCGCCACTCTCGTTGCCACGCCTCGAGTTCATCGAGGCGATTCGGCGCGAGGCGGAAGCGGAAAGCCCCGGAGAGGAGAGCGCTGAAGAGGAGGGGGTCGGGGGCGGGCGGGCAGGGGGAGAGTTGGAAGAGGGGGAGGAGGTGGAGGAAGGAGATGGGGGGAACGAGGGCGCGGAGGGGGAGAAGGTGCGCGGAAGGGGAGAGGGGAGAGGCAGGGGCCCTCCGCGGCTGAAGTGGAGAGCGCTGAAGGAGCGCCATCCGTTGTGGGTGAGTATCTCACAGGGTACAGGGTTCGGAGTTTCGGGTTTGGGGGTTCAGGGTTTCGGCTTCCGGGTTCAGAGATCGGGGTTCATGGTACAGGGTTCGGGTTTCGGGTTCTGGGTGTAGGGTTTGGGGCGTTTGTCCGGTGAAAGCTTACAACTGCTTTGTGGAATGCTTTTTCTTGCGTTACATTGTCACCCCAACATTCTTAGCTCAGCTTCTTGTTGTTCGTCCCACTTACCCGCTCTTCACTCTTTCACCCCTAGTCCTTGTTCTAATCCGTCCCTCCAAACCCCCTCATCCCCACCCACCCCCCCTCTGTTTCTTGCGCGCGCCGCCCTTCCCAGCACCGGCTTCGCCACATCACCTACCAGCCCTGGCAGCTCTGCCCTCCGAACCTGCCGTCCCGAGCCACCACAACCGAACCAACCCCAGGCTCGGAACCACACCACCAACTCTCCCCCCCACCTCCCTTGGAAGACACACCCTTGGCATACGTAGAAACGCGCGAGCAGCTAGCAGCCATGGCGGAGGAGATTAAAGCCGAGAGGGAGGTGGCAGTGGATCTCGAGAATCACAACTACCGGTCATTCCAGGGCTTCCTGTGCGTGCTGCAGCTGTCGACGAGAAGGAAAGACTATGTGGTGGACGCGGTTTCCCTGCGCGGACACATCGGACCAATACTGGGACCCATGTTTGCTGACACACGCATAGTCAAGGTGAGACTGGGGGAATCACAGCTAGTGGGCCAGGGCCTTCCAGGGCTTTCTGTGCGTGCTGCAGCTGTCGACGAGAAGGAAGGACTATGTGGTGGACGCTATTGTGCTGAGGGGAGAGATCGGGCCCGTGCTGGGACCCATGTTTGCTGACACACGCGTAGTCAAGGTGAGACCTGGAGAATCACAGCTATCGAGAGCCCCCACGGCTACTGGGCCAGGGCCTTCCAGGGCTTCCTGTGTGTGCTGCAGCTGTCGACACGGAGCAAGGACTACGTGGTGGACGCCATTGCAATGAGGGGGGAGATTGGCCCCCTGCTGGAGGGAGCCCATGTTTGCCGACCCTCACATTGTGAAGGTGATGATGTGAGGGGCGTGAATGGGATGAGAGCTATGCAGGTTCACTCCTCAGGGGTTTTGCAGATAGGTTTTGGCAGAGCTGTTGCCTCGTAATGTCTCCCACCACAAAGTGGTGTTCCTTGGGTTCACTCCTCAGGGGTTTTGCAGATAGGTTTTGGCAGAGCTGTTGGCAGATGGGGTTAGGCAGAAGGGGGCTGTGCTGGTGGTGAGGTTGAGGTGATGTCGGAGGTTTAGGGTTTAGGGTTTAGGGAGAAGGGGGCTGTGAGGTGCTGGGTGCTGATACGCCGCTTCTCCTTGGCGCACCTGCTGCAGCGCTACTGTGGCGTGGCGTGTCCGCCAACAAGAGCCTGCAGATGGCGGACTGGCACAAGGAGAGGCTCTGAGAGAGAGGTTTTGACTGGTACCCCTACCCCTCCCCGACCCCCACCTGCCCCCCTTCCCCTTCAGGTGATGCACGGGGCGGACAGCGACGTGGTGTGGCTGCAAAGGGACTTTAACATTTTTATCGCAAATCTGTTCGACACGGGGCAGGGCAGGCCTCACGTGTGCTTGGGCTAGAGCGCTTCTCCCTGGCGCACCTTTTCCCCCCTTCTCCCCCTCGCCTCCCCATGCCAGGTGATGCACGGGGCGGACAGTGATGTGGTGTGGCTGCAAAGGGACTTTGGCATCTTCATTGCGAATCTCTTTGACACGGGGCAGGCCTCACGTGTGCTTGGGCTAGAGCGCTTCTCCCTGGCGCACCTGCTGCAGCGCTACTGCGGGGTCACGGCCAACAAGAGCCTTCAGATGGCGGACTGGCGCGTGCGGCCGCTGCCAAGTGATATGCTCAAGTATGCCAGGGAAGACACGCACTATTTGCTCTTCCTGCACGACTGCCTTCGGCTGGAGCTCGCTGCGTCTGCCGGTGGTGGTGGTGGTGCTGCTGCTGCTCGGGCTGATGGGAGGATGGATAAAGGGAAGGCTTGCGGTGAGGAGAAGGAGGAGGGAGAGGAGGAGGATGAGGAAGGGGAGGTGCATGATGATGATGAGGAGGAGGAGGAGGAGGAGGAGGAGGAAAAGGGGGAGGAGGGAGAGGGAGGGAAGCAGCAGGGGTATGGCGAGCCGTGCCCTGCTATCCTAGAGGCAAGTTCCTGATGCAGCTCTTTTTCTCTCTCGCTTTGCTTATGTAGTCCCTCTCCTAGCGTGTGCGAACTGTTCCACTGTTGTTGTCGGCTCAAGCCATCAAGCCATCAAGCCCCTACACAGGCCCTGATAGCTCTTCTCACTCCTCTCACGCCCTTGCTGCTTGCCCCCCTTCGCCCCTCGCCCTTCGCCCTTCGCCCCTCGCCCTTCGCCCCTCGCCCCTCGCCCTTCGCCCTTCGCCCCTCGCCCTTCGCCCCTCGCCCCTCGCCCCTCGCCCCTCCCCTTCGCCCCCCTGTCCATGCAGGTGTTGAAGCGCAGTAGGGACGTGTGTCTGCTGCTCTACTCCAAGCCACAGCGCACCACACACGCCCTGACAGTTCTCCTCACCCCTTGCCCCCCTCCTCCCCCCCTTCCCCATATTTTTTCCCTCTCCCCTCGTCCTCTGCAGGTGTTGAAGCGCAGTCGGGACGTGTGTCTGCTGCTCTACTCCAAGCCACAGCGCGCCTTCCACTCCTTCCTCCGCAACAACAGGTCAGCCCTCCCAACTCTGTTTGCCCAAACCAACCCTTCTAGATGAACCCAAACTCTCCACCAAGCTAACCACCGATCGCGATGTGGTCGCAGGGCTCTTGTGGTTTATCCAACTCGAATGACTCGAGTGAATTAAAAGTTCAGATGAAGTCACAAGAATTTTGTGTTTTTTTTGTTGCTCGGTTTTATCTCCCGTGCCTGACTGCACTTGTTGGTTCCTCCATGCAGGTTAAGCACAGAGGCCTTCACCGAGGAACAGATGGCTGTGCTCTCTGTAAGACACACGTGCCTCTCCTCTGCATTTTTTTTTTTTTTTTTTTTTTTTTTTTTTTTCCGAATTTCGAAGTGCACCCACACAGGCTTGTGCAGTTTCTGTGCTTGCTATGCTGTTTCGTGCAACGCGTTGCCATCTCATGCAAACCCATGCCACCATTCCGTTCTCTGTGCCATCCATGCCACGTCATCGCCATCAGGCGCTGTACACGTGGCGAGATCAGACGGGCAGGGAGTGCGATGAAGGGCTGGGATACGTCATGCCCAACCACCTGTTGCTCAAAGTCGGTGCGTTCCCCTACCTGAAGGCCCCCGTGATTGATTGTCCTGCACGAATCACATCCCAGTGATCGGCAGCTCATTAAGTAGGAAAGGCTATAGCACATAAGATGATAGCAACTAGGCAGGGAGTGCGATGAGGGGTTGGGATACGTCATGCCTAACCACCTGCTGCTCAAAGTCGGTGAGTTACCCACCCATGATTGCCCCCCATGGTTTCTCTGTGTCATTGCGCTGCATGACTCAGATTCCAGTGGGATTGTCATAACACTCACTTGTTAACAGTCTCGCCCTGCACGTTTTGCCTTCTTTGCTGCTCTGTCTGTCTTTCCCTGTCACTCGGAGCACGTTTGAAAGTGGGCATGTCCCGTGCTATCAAAAAGCTTCTTTTGCTTCTCCTCCCCACTCTCCCTCATTCGCTCCTATTCAGCACGTGACATGCCCACCTCCGAACGTGCTCTCCGAACCTGCCTCCGAGGTTCGGCACCTCTGGTGGCTCGAAATGCTGCAACTATCACCCGAATAATCAGCCAGATCAAAGATTCTGCTGACCTGGCAACGTCCACTCTAGAGTCGCCAGCTGTCGTCGCGGCACGGCATGCTGCCACGTCAGGCAAAGACCCCTTTGCTCCTGGCACTCCGGCTGCTGCAGCTGCCGCCGCTGCTGTTGCTGCTGCTGCTGCCCGTGCTGCTGCCGCTGCTGGTGTGGCTCCTGGTGCTGCCGCTGCTGCTGTCACTGCTGATGCAAGTGTCCAACCAACAACTGCCATAACTGCATCTGTAGCACCGCCTGTAGCAGCGGCTGTAGCGAAGGTGAAGGTGAAAAAAGCAGCAGCTAAGTCTGGGTTTGGGGCACTCCTGGGGCAAAAGCGACCTGCTAAAGCCGCAGGAGCAGCGGGAGGAGCAGCTGTAGCAGCTGGAGCAGGGGCAGCAGGAGCATTAGTAAAGCCCTTGGCAAAAGCACAGAAGACGGATGGCGCTGCTGCGAAAGATGACCTGGCGGCACGAGTTCGAGCAGCCATGGGAATTGTACCGCAGCCAATGGGATCGAAGAAAGTTGCTTCACGGGCAGGTGAAAAACATGGAACTGCGGAAGGTGAGGGGAAGGTGGCAGCTGAAGGTAGGGGACAGGAAGGAGAAGGGGGGAATGGTGGGGAAGCAGAGGGAGGTGAGGGGGGAGGAGGGGGCGGAGGGGAAGCCGGGGGGGTAGGGGGAGCAGGGAAGGGTGGAGAAGCAGGGGGCGGGCAGAAGAAGCGGCAGCGACCAGCCAAGTCTCCGGCTCATGTGGCTGCTGCGGTGGCGGCGGCAGCAGCAGCAGCACGAGCAGCCAGAAAAGCCGGAAGCCAGGCAGAGGGCGAAGGGGGCGGAAGCGGGGCGGGAGTGAGTGGTGGAGTTGAGGCAGGGGGGGATCTGCCAGCTCCTCTGAGTGCTGCCTTTGATGCGGAGGAAGGCAGGCGGGCACAGAGGAAGAAGAGACGCATGCTCAAAGCTGCTGCTGCTGCTGCCGCCGCTGCTGCTGGTGCTGCTGGTGCTGCCATTAGCGATGCTGCTGGTGCTGGCGCTGGGGCAAACGATGTTGACGGTGTTGGTGATGGTGCAGGGTCTGGGTCTGGTGCCGGTGATGCAGCTGATGCTGATGCTGCAGCTGCAGCTGCAGAAGGGGGGGACGTTGGTGTTGAGGGCAAGGCATCAGCACAGTCACAGTCACAACAGCCAGCTAAGAAGGGTGCTGGTGGGGGGCAGCGCAAGAACCTGGTTTCAGAGGCGTTTCAGAGAGCTGCGGAGGGGGAGGAGAGGCGCAAGAAGAAGAGGAGGAGTGGGACTGGAGGGTTGTGTGGCTCGGATTCAGAGGAAGAGGAGGAGGAGGAGGAGGAGGGGCTTCGCATGGTGCATGATAGTGAGGATGATGACGATGATGATTCTGACGGTGGTGGTGGTGTTTTCGGTGGTGACGATAGCGATCATGATGAGGATGGTGTGGCGAAGGGAAAGCGGAAGCTTCCTGGTCGGCAGCAGGAGGAGGATCGGGAAGGATTCGCGCGGCTTGAGATTTATGATTTCTCGGCGGAGAAGGAGGAGTTTGGGCTGGATGCACAGCATGTGGCGGCCAGCGAGGCCATGGCTCTGGGTCCTTCGGCAGATAAGAAGAAATGGAACAAGCGTGGTGCTCCTAAGTTCTCTGTGCCGCTGCCTGCGGCTGCTGCTGCAGCAGCTGCGGATGCTGCTGCCAATGCTGGAAAGCAGGGTGGTGGGGATGAGGGAGGGCGAGGTAGTAAGAGTGCGGTGTTTGATCCGTTGCAACCGATTGCGGCTGGAGCGGCCAAGAGAGGCTTGGCTTATGATGCGCCGAGGGGTGGGAAGAGGCCGCAAGTGTTTCCTTCGTCTGGAAACAGGAGTGCCACATTCATGGATTGATTCAGGCAGGGTGATGCTGTTGCGGCCCGTTTCAGAGTTCGTTTTTGGTAGTTCAACCGCCTAGTTATGGAGGGGGGTTGAATGGATTGAAATGTTGGGGATAGTAAGGGATTTTGTGTAATTTGTTTCAGTTACCTGACGCATAAGCAGTCTGGACTAGTGTGTGTTTTGCGAGGGCGTATTGACTCGCGTCCTGGTTGTCATTGACGAGAATATTGTGACGCGAGTTCCCCATTCATATTTCTGGCGCTGCGTTGACTCTTGAGCTGCACGACAAACTGTGTCGTGGTGGTGGGCAGGAATTGGGCTGCAAGCGAACATCCAGGGGTCGTGGAAAGAGGGTTACAAACTCTTCGTCAAGATCGCGACCTCACCACCATTCCACAGAACTTGGGAGGGAGGCTGGCAGTGAGGAAGGAAACAGAACAGCACACTGCCCCAGCGCAGGGGTCACTATGCGCCCCTATCTGCGGTTCCTCGCACCCGAAATATCCGCAAAATCTGGTGCTGTTTTCCTGATGGGGGGGCGCAGAGCAAGGGAGGGGGACCCGCCAGGCAGCCACAGATTGCAGGCCTCGCCAGCATTTCAGAGAGGGAAAAACGGGGCTGAAATGTGGTGGTTGGGGGGCTGGAGTGAGGGAAAAGGGTCGCCGGGAGAACCAGTCACTCTACTGCTTCCCCTTTTGTCATTGTTTTGGTAAGGATACCTCGTGTGCTCAAGCGAGTCCCCAAAACGCTGGTGTTTGACAGCAAAATTTATTCTCTGCTCGCAGCTGGCACGACCCTCAACCCCCGATTTTTTCCGTGTCATACTCAAGATTCCAGGAATTTGTTGAAACAATTGAGCAAGATCCGGGTAGATGAAAATTGACCTGGAAACCTCAGGGCTTCTCAAAACAGAAAATTTGCAGTGCAACCCATCCGACAGTCACAGTTGAGTGGGTGGAAGGCTGGACGCCGAACGAAGTCTCGAGATTGACGTGACCAGCAGCGAAACAGAAACATGAAAACATGGGAGATGCCGAGATGCCATGGACATGAGAGATGAGAGCACCTGTCTGTACAGTAATCGCGCAAATGTTTCAGCCAAAGATTCTTGCCAGTTCAAGCAGGCTCCTTGAAAAAGCAGGTGGCGTTAGCTATGTCTTCTGATGTCGGACCGCACTTGTCACTTCGTTCAAAAGCGTAACATGGGGTTCGGATGAAACAAGAGGAATCCGACATTTTCCGCACGACCGCTGGATGGCTCGCGATGATGTAGCATTGAACGGACAAACTTAGGTAGCTTTTTGCGAATGAGCCGTTGCGTAGCAAGGAGCGGCATCGTGGATTGGTGGATGGGACCTGTCGACGCGTACGGAAGAGCCAGCTTCAATGTCGCCGTAGCCTTATCGTTTTCGATCAGGGCGTTGCGTTTCGCCATGATTCTGGGGTTGTAGAGGCCTACAGCGCGTCGCGTACAGCTGGGGTTTTCTATTCATGTTCCTGTGATTTCTTAGTTACCTCGTAACGGTACCGTGCTCAGGAGTCATGACCATGCATCTCATGACACCAAATAGTCCTATAATCCGTAGCACCCTCGGCTCGAACCAATCCAGGCTGTAGCTGCAGCAGGAAATAAGTTCGCTGTAGCCCATTGCCGCATTTCCTGTACAAACAGATTCGATTTAATTTATAATGGATTCCGACGCCATGGATGTAGACATGGATGATAGCGGTTCCCCACGCGCCGGCACCAGAAATACGTCTTTAGGAGGCGTCGATTCGACTCCACCAACAGCTAGAAGCCCGTCTCCTGTGGCCGAATCGTCTCCACCGGACCCCACCCCTCTTTCACCCACCCAATCCACCCATCTTGCACCGACCCGATCCGCCGAATCGGCCCTACCCATCCTAACCACCCCTCCGTCCGGCATTTCAGCCCATCCATCCCCTTCGATACAACAACCATCCGAACCATCACCCCCTGAGCCGTCTGCTACAGTACCATCCGCTACAGTCACCTCAGGAAACGCACCAAGTACGGCATTGCGCTCCCCCTCAATACCTTCCCCATCTGCTCCGATGTCCCGGTCCCCGGGAATGGCGTCACCCGGAGGATACTCCTCCGGTAATCCCTCGGGAATCAATTCCCCTAGCGTGCATTCCGGAGTAAAGCGGCTCTCTGCAGAGGATCGCCAACGGCTAGCTAATATGCTGCGCGCGCTGCAGCTGCAGCAGCAAGCGCACGCGGAAGCGCCCGCTCCCGCCTCCGCGGAAGCGAGCGCTGGCGCAAGCAGGCCGGCGGAAGGCGGAGCGGAACGTCCCGCGGAAGCTGGCGCAGAGAGGGGAGCGGATATGGCGGTGGATGCGCCGGCGTGCGCGCAGGGGGGGGAGCGGGAGAGGCAGGGGCGCGACATGGGGGGGGCGAATGGGGAAGCAGCGGGGATGTGGGGCGAATCGCCGTCGTCGCCGTCGTCTCCTCCTCCTGGGGGCGCCATGAGGTGCGGAAAGATGGGAGGGCCAAGCGGGTCTCCATGGGGACCCGTGAGGCACGGCGAGCGGGAGGCGAGAGAGGGAGGAGAGAGGGAGGAGAGAGGGGAGAGGGAGGGGAGGAGAGAGGAGAGGAGAGAGGGGGAGAAAGGGGGAGTGGGGGGGCAAGAGGGGAGGCTAGGGGGGAGGCGAGAGGATGGGATTGGGAGGAGAGAGGGAAGGCAAGAGAGGAGACGAGAGGAGTTGCTAGAGTGGAGGTGAGGGAGGAGGCGAGAGTGGAGGTGAGAGGAGGGGAGAGAGGGGAGGCGAGGGGGAAGCCATTAGGTGAGGCGTGCGGGTGTGGGGAGAGGTGTGGGGGGAGAGAGGTATGGGGAGAAATCTGGAAGAGGTAGAGGAGAGATTTGGGAAGATTTATGGGAAGATTTAAGGTAAAGTGAGGAGAGGCGAGAGAGGAGGCAGGAATGGGAGGCTGAGCTGCGTACTGGGGAGGGGGGGTTGGAGGCTGAAGGAATCACATGCGAGGTAGGGTGAGGTTTCGGAGGAGTGAGGGAGGATTTCTCAAAGAACTTGCGAATATGAATGGCAAGAGAGAGGAGAGGTGGCATTCGCAAATGAGGGAAGGGGTATTGGTCCATTTGGGGCAATAGGTGACTTGTGTGAGAGCAGAAGGTGTGAACAAAGAGCAGAGGATGTGAAGAGAGAGCAAGCACCCTGCACCGCCCACTCAGTTCGCAAATTCATGTGATATCACTCCCTCCCTGCCCCCCGTCCCAACGCGTTACACAAGTCGCAAGGACCACACGAGTCGCCAGCACTCGGGCACGCTGGTGCGGCCAGGTGTGCCTATTCGTTCATATGCTCTCCCTCTCCATCCCCCATCCCCGTGCATGCATCCCCAGCCGCAAGGACATTCTGGAAATAGTGCGCAAGCATTCAGGTGCGCTGGTGCGGCCAGCGGCGTCACGGGACGGGGCGGGAGCGGAGGCGGCGCAGACGGCGCTGATGATGGACCGGCAGTACTGGCGCGAGATGGCAGACCTCTTCTTTGTGCGCGGCGTGCAGCTGAGGGGGGACGCAACCCAAGACGGTTCTTTCCGGGATGTTGTGTTCTTCGTGAGGGACGAGGTGCGCTTGCAGTGGCTTGAGGTGGGATGGAGGTGAGGTGGGATGGAGGTGAGGTGGGATGGAGGTGAGGTGGGATGGAGGTGAGGTGGGATGGAGGTGAGGTGGGATGGAGGTGAGGTGGGATGGAGGTGAGGTGGGATGGAGGTGAGGTGGGATGGAGGTGAGGTGGGCTAGAGGTGAGGTGGGATGGAGGTGAGGTGGGATGGAGGTGAGGTGGGCTAGAGGTGAGGTGGGATGGAGGTGAGGTGGGATGGAGGTGAGGTGGGCTAGAGGTGAGGTGGGATGGAGGTGAGGTGGGATGGAGGTGAGGTGGGCTAGAGGTGAGGTGGGATGGAGGTGAGGTGGGATGGAGGTGAGGTGGGATGGAGGTGAGGTGGGCTAGAGGTGAGGTGGGATGGAGGTGAGGTAGAAGGGGCGCAGACGGCGCTGATGATGGACCGGCTGTACTGGCGGGAGATGGCAGACCTCTTCTTTGTGCGCGGCGTGCAGCTGCGGGGTGATGCCACTCAAGATGGGTCGTTCGGGGACGTGGTGTTCTTTGTCAGAGACGAGGTGGGTAGGTAAAAGGGAGGTGCGTCACCTGTGGGATGACATTGTGCCGTGGTTGCTGCCGTGGTCCCTCCCACTCACCCGTCCCTCCCACTCACCCGTCCCTCCCACTCACCCGTCCCTCCCACTCACCCGTCCCTCCCACTCACCCGTCCCTCCCACTCACCCGTCCTTCCCACTCACCTAGCCCTCCCACCCACCATCGCTCCCACTCACCCATCGCTCCCACTCACCCAACCCTTCCACTCAACCAACCCTCCCACCACCCATCCCTCCCACCCACCCGCCACCCATGTGCAGTCGCCTGCAGCAACACCCTGTCAGGCAGATGGGGGGTGCGATGGCGCGGGGTGATGGCAGGCAGGGGCGAGGGCATGGAAGCCGTGGAGAGACGCCTCTCTCCCATTCACCCATTCGTCCCTCCCAACTCACCCTCCCACCCACCCACCCTCACTTCCATGTGCAGTCGCCTGCAGCAACACCCCGTCAGGCAGGTGGTGGAGCCGAGGGCGCAGGGGACATGGCAGGCAGGGGCGAGGGCATGGAGGCAGTGGAGAGACGGCGGCCTTACTTCGCCAGACGCAGGCAGAGCAGCGTGAGTGGGCTGTGATTTTTGTCGTTTGGGGCTGTCTACTTGCCTGTTAACTGCGCCGTGCTTCCCATGCACCATGCTTGTCTGCCATGCCTGTCTGCCATGCCTGTCTGTCACGCTTGTCTACCATGCCTGTCTGCCACGCTTGTCTGCCATGCCTGTCTGACTCACTTCTCTCCTCCATTCCCTGCACCACTCCACACCCCTCTGCACTCCTGTACACGTGGCGACAGCTGGGGGAGATTCTGGGCGGAAGTGGGGA